GGATCTTGGACACACACGCACACGCGCCCGGCGTGAGGTTTAAGCCACCGGGTCCGGGACGCGAACCGCGGTTGACTACGTGGGAGTCCAGTGACATAGCCATTACGCTAACTGCTGGTCCCAATTTGTACTATTCTTAAAGCAAGAGTATAATGCTCCATCAAATAGAAATAACTAAAGGGGGACCAGCAGATGGTGTAATGGTTACATCGCTGGCCTCCCACATAGCCTACCTTGGTTTGAGTCCCAGACCCAGTGGCTTAAAACTCACGCCAGGCACGTGTGCATGTGTGCTCCAGATCCCAAGAGGAGGGGAAAGGACTGCAGTGTGGCCATCCCCCCTGGGGGGTGATTTCTGGCTTTCTGTCTTTGTCTCTCTGGCGAACATATGCGCCCTGTAACAAAAATCTCTCTTAAAAAAAAAGTAAGAAAGACAGACAGACAGACAGAAAGAAAGAAAGAAAGAACTAGATGACACTTTTTAGTTTAGTTACATAAAGAAATTATATTTTCTCAGATCAAGTCATGGTGATATAGCAGGAAGATGACATTACAAGCAGCCACTGAAGAAGCATCAAACCTTTTTTTTTTTTTTCTTTGAGAGAGAGATTTTTGCTATAGGGCACTTGTGCTCGCTGGAGAGTCAGAGACAGACAGAAAGCAAGAAATCATGCCATAATCCCTCCTCATCCAGTCTCCTCTCGGGATCTTGGGCATGCATGCACATGCACCTGGCCTGAGTTTTACACTGCCAGGTCTAGGACTCAAACCACAGCCAACTATGTGGGAGTCCACCAATGTAACCATTACATCATCTGCTGGTCCCAGTATCAAAACATTCTGGGCAGAACATAGGGACTAAGAGCACAGAGCCTGGAGCTGAGTCTGCTTCCTTGTCATTAGCACATTTCTGAGGACCTAGAAGAACCTGTAAATATAAACTATGTAAGACTCAATATGCAATATGTACTCAGCAATAGAAGCTCTAATAACTTTTTTTTTTTTTGGGGGGGGAGAGATTTTCACTGTAGGGCGCGTGCGCTCGCCAGACAGAGAGAGACATAGAGACAGAAAGCAAGAAATCACCCCCCAGGGGGGATGGTCACGCCGCAATCCCTTCTCCTCCATTCTCCTCTCGGGATCTTGGGCACGCACGCACACGTGCCCGGCGTGAGTTTTAAGCCACCGGGTCCGGGACACGAACCGCGGTCGACTACGTGGGAGTCCAGCAACATAGCCATTACGCTAACTGCTGGTTCCCTAATAACTTTTATCCTACAATTGAACTTAAGTTTTCTATAAGCTTGGTATTGTTAGGTTGGTCTTATTCCTATAGACAAATCGGCAGGATAGGAGAGGGCAGGATTTGTAAGCAGATGATAGCCTTTCTCCCTGCCTGGCCACTCATGCAGTATGGATCATACCAAACCTCTGCTTTCCTCTTGGGAGTCTGGAATTCCAGCACATGCCACATGATCTGCTCTAATATAAACTCCAGGTGCCAAGTCTCCAGTTAGCTTCCCTGGTACCATGTTTCACACAGGCTGTCATGGCTCAAGCCAGGAGGAGTTGGGCATGGCCCTTATGACTCCACTGGAGGGACCTTTGAGCACTTGCTTCTGGCCGTCCCTAGATGTCGCCCCATGTTCCTTCCTTCTCACTTCACTGGACCAGATCCAGGCCATAAGCTCCAGCAATACACTGAAGCTGAGGGAGGTCTTGAGGACTCCCACCTAGAGGAGAACAGTAGTATCTGTCTTATAGGATCAGAGTAAGGACTACACACAGGACTACATAGAAAGGCCTGATTTCTATTAGCTGTATGTAAATGGGGAAATCAGTGCCTGGCCACCTTTTGGGCTGTGATTAAAAACTCATATATATTAGGTTGTCAGGAAAGTCATGAGGTATTTTTCTGTTTTTCTATGCAAAAATGTTTCATGACTTTCCTGATGACCCAATACATAAAAGACATTCCGTGAAGACTGAAAAATTGCACAAATGAAAAATGGCATTATTTCTTTTAGATGTCAAGTACTTCTGACTATGTGCCAATGCTAACAATACCTACTCACTGCACACACTACAGGTCAAGTTCCAACAACGGAGTGTCAACTGGACACAAGAAACATTTGGGTGTTTTTTTCCCTGCTGTGGGGTGAGAGTGGTCTTCGAAACAATATACAACCTCAATAATACAGTATTACTACTTTCTACTATCATCTGTTATACTGTTCTACACATTACCTCTCAAATTTTAAATGTAATTTGTGGAGAGAAAAAAGTAATTTGAGGAAAAAACATAATTTATTTAGGTAGCAATAAAAACAGAAAATTACTTACAGTGAAGATCAATGTTGTATTTGACTTTAAAAAAAATGTTACTACGGAACCAGCAGTTAGTGTAATGGCTATGTCACTGGACTCCCACGTAGTCGACCGCGGTTCGCGTCCCAGACCCGGTGGCTTAAAACTCACGCTGGACGCGTGTGCGTGCATGCCCAAGATCCTGAGAGGAGAATGGAGAAGAAGGGATTGCGGCGTGGCCATCCCCCAGGGGGGTGATTTCTCGCTTTCTGTCTCTATGTCTCTCTCTCTCTGTCTGGTGAGCACACGCACCCTATAGTGAAAACCTCTCCCCCCCCAAAAAAAAAGTTACTCTCACAAGCTAGCACACACTATTTACTGTTTTGCTTAAAAAATGCTTCAGAAAAGCAATATCTTTAATAGCTGCAGAGCACCCAGGAGACCTGACTCTCGATGCCTTGCATATTTCTGCTCACAGAAGCTGGCAGGAGCAGAGTGCGCTGAGAGATGCTGTGGCCACACATGGGGAAAGTGAACACAGGACACTGGAGAACCCAGTGTCACAGGACAGTCGGGCCTTGAGTCACAGAAAAGTTTTCTCTTATTCTTGTCTCACTTTTCTAGTATGGCTTTCTCTACTCGCTTAAACTTTTTGAGTTCGACAATTAGCTCCCAGTATCTGAGATACAGCCACATGAGCCTCCCATTTTGGCGCTTGTTGGTATTCCAGACATCACTGCAGTATGTATCGTGTTTAAAGATGTCAGTTAGACCAGCTACCATCTCTAGGTCAGCAGCAACTGGGTCAACGGACGCTCGTACCAGTAAGTTTTTCTCTATTTCTAGTCGCTTGTTGCGAGGAAGAATCAAGCTGCAGTAGATATTCTGTCTTTCTGTGAGAGCAGCTTCAAACTCTTTCAGCAAAAGCCTGGCTCTCCTTTGCCAGTCTTCTTCCTTCTCTAGGTAGCTCATATACACACCTCTCAAAGATTGCATCTGTCTTTTTTCTTGCATTACCTGAGCCCGTTCTTGCTCCAGAAGTTTCTTTTCTTCTACCAACTTGCGCCCCTGAGAAATAAGGGCTTCTCGATAACTAGTCGTTCTGTTTTGTTCTTTCTCTAGTTCCAAAGACAACTGAGCAACTGCACGCCGATTTTCTGAGATCATAGCATGGTACTTGGCTTCAAGATCCCGCTGGAAAGCAGTGGTTCTCTGACGGTATGCTTCTCTCTCTTTTTCTATTTCTTTTTGGGACTCCCTAGACCAAATCCAACCTGATATAAGTTGGGCGAGAAAATACATGCAACAGGAAGTCAGAGTTCTATAATTTTAAAGAAAACATAAAGCTGCTAAGGATAGCATTTCTTTTAAGAATTATCTAATTTTATTCATTATAATTACTTTTAAATGTGACCATAGAAAGAGAGGAAGGGAAAGTGAGAAAGCAAGTCACCAGGTCCAGGACTCAAACCACAATTGGCCATGTGGAGTCCAGCATCTCAACCACCACATCCCCCCACCAGCCCTGATAGCATTTCTATTAAAGCTTGAGACCCTGTAGGTACCAATAAAAGAACATTTTGCATGAAAATATGAAAGACGAAGTTCTTATCTTAAAATCAGTTAAGAATGGGTACCCTAAACACAAGGATGGCAAGGCTGCAAAGAGCTCCCTTCAGTCTTCCAATTTCCTATGGCTAAGGAAACCTACTGCTGCTTTCCTTTGCTCTCAAACCTACCACCACTGTATTGACCTGGACCCATGGCCACATACATTATCAGCAAGATTTTTAAAACTGTCATGAGTGGCTTAAAATTCACTTGGCTGGTTTTTGTAGAAGTTGTTTTTAGCCCTTAGTAGTCATTATTAGCAAATGACTCAAGTCTACGGTGCTTGCTTATGTTCTGACAGGAGTACGTGGAAATAAAGTGGACAAAGAAGTCCAACTTGAAGAAATGGTTTGAGCTCTTTCCCCAAATTGGTGACTACTGACGTCTCACAAGCATGGGACACAGAAAGTGGGGAGGTTGGAGAGGGTTTGCCCAACTCTGCCCCACAGATTGTTGAGCAAATGGGCATCAGTCACAGTTGCATGGAGGAAAACCCAGTGCCCCAAAGACCTGACAAACCACAAAGCAGGTACTCCAGTTCTGGATTGAGTCACCAACTCTTTCCTCACCCAACTAATTAATCTATTCTGGTATCTGGTGTTTTGACAATAAAACAAAAGACAGTGTGGTAATACTTTCACCAGTATAGGCATCCACCACATTTTGAACTTATGTAAAAACTCAATAATTTAAAAAGCACTGGGCATGGGAACCAGCAGTTAGCATAATGGCTATGTCGCTGGACTCCCACGTAGTCGACCGCGGTTCGCGTCCCGGACCCGGTGGCTTAAAACTCACACCGGGCACGTGTGCATGCGTGCCCAAGATCCCGAGAGGAGAATGGAGAAGGGATTGCGGCGTGACCATCCCCCCTACGGGGTGATTTCTCGCTTTCTGTCTCTATTTCTCTCTCTGTCTGGTGAGCGCACGCGCCCTATAGCGAAAAACCTCTCAAAAAAAAAAAAAAAAAAGTATTGGGCAACTATATGGCTAAATTCTAGTTTTTCAAATTAGTTTACTCAGATCATATAGAATATATCCTAAAAGCAGCCTTGATTTGAGTACTCCCCCCAAAAAAAAGGCTTGTTCAGCACATTTTCAAAGCCCAAGTCCCCAGTGCCAACGAGAGTAGCAGCTCAGGGTCCTTTCATGCAATTCTGTTTGCCTACGCAACCCTTCTGATGCTCTATGGTACTCATGCCTCTTCTGGAGCCACTGGAGTTTCTATCAACTTTTATAGTTCTGTCACTGCTTTTACTGGCCCCTCCATCACCCAGGTGGTATCCTCGCCACTCAATTCTTTTTACCACATTCATGTCAACAACCACCTTTGTGGGAACAACTCCACTATAGTAGTATTTCCATGTGCTTGAAAGTCATTTTTACTTGCTTATCAGTGCATCTCAATTCCACAAGCATAAAACCACACTCGACTTTCCTCAATTGGGAACAGCTTTCACAAGTAGTCTAGTGGCCTAGTGGTTAAGAGAACTGAATCCCACACAGTCAACTGAGCAGTTAAAATCCTGGCCTAGTGGCTTGAAAACTATGCCAGGACTGTGTATGTACACATGCCCCAAATAAAACAGGATGCAGAAATGGAGAAGGGATTGTAGTGTGATTTAAGTCCTAACGGAGAATACTTTTCCCCCTTTCCTCCTCTCTCTGGCAAGCGCATGTGGTCTAGTAAACAAAACAAACAAAAAAAGCACCTTTTAGCTCTATTTCAGCTGATAACTTGATCTCCAAAGTACATGTCTGTGTGTGTGTGTGTGTGTGTGTGTGTGTGTGCGCTCAAAATTCCCAGAGGAGAATGGAGAAGAGATTCCAAGAATGGTCAGGCCTCCAGGGGTTGAATTCTCACCTTCCCTCTCTCTTTCTTTTTGTCTTTCTCTGGTGAATGCACGTGAAATAGCAAAAAAGAAAAGTACACGTCATCTTTATCTCCTCCCTGTGATAAGGAAAGCAGCAGCTATGCCATAACTTGATAAGCACTGAGAGGTTTGCAAAAGGTATGTGAGAAGAAAGGAAGGAAGGGCTAATTCACTTTTGAGGGGAGTCAAGAAAGGCTTCACAAAAGAGGTGAATGTGACAAAGCCCAAAAGATTAAGAATTGGTAAGATGAACAGGTGCAAGATGGCATCACTCTGAGAGCAGAGTGTCCAAGAGTTGGAAGTGCCTGGAGCACAGGGTTACACCACAGAGAAGCTGGAACAGAAAAATATCTGAATAATTAATACCCCACTTTCAGTAACGAATAGAACAGCTAAAAAGATCAACAAAAAAATAAAAAACTTTCACAACACCATGAACCAAATACTGGTAACAGATATCTCTAAAATACAAGGCATGTTCTCTGACCAAAATAAATCAGAATATTGATAGAAATCATACCTTACACAAAAATTAACTCTGAATGGATCAGAGACTGACATGTAAAATGTAAAACTAAAACTTTAGGAAAAGACAGAATTTTTAGCATCTAGGGTATGATAGCTTGAATGGGTCCCCCTAGAATTCGTGTGTTCAGCCACTGTAACAGGATTAAGAAGATGAAAATTATGATTATGGTGTCAAAAGGCAGGGTCTTTGAGAAGAAATTAGAGATGGGGTGACTAGGGCAGGTCCTCCATGACTGAGTTCTACTAGGGTCTTAAGTGGAGGGAATGTGACCAGAATCGCCACAAGAAGGCCACGTGGACCAGAGCAAGAGGAATTCATAGAACTGCTCTGTTCAGAGTTCTGTCTGTCACCATTTTGTAGCCTCAGTAGAAGGTGGATCTCTACACTGTGAGCTGAATAAACCTGTATTTCTTTATAAAACCCCCCAGTCTCTGTTATTTTTTAGTAATGCAATAACAGACTAAGACAGAGGACCATGCAGAGTTTTTAGATTTGGCAGGAAAAGCATGATTCACAAAAAGAGAAAAATGATAAACTGTACTTCATCAAAATTTAAATTTTTGCTGTGTTAAAGACCCTGTTAAAAGAAGGAAAAAAGGGAACCAGCAGTTAGTGTAATGGCTATGTCGCTGGATTCCCACGTAGTCGACCACGGTTTGCGTCCTGGACTCGGTGGCTTAGAACTCACGCCGGGAGCGTGTGCGTGCCTGCCCAAGATCCCGAAAGGAGAATGGAAGAGAAGGGACTGCGGCGTGACCATCCCCTCTGGGGGGTGATTTCTCGTTTTCTGTCTCTATGTCTCTCTCTGTCTGTCTGGCGAGCGCACGCGCCCTATAGTGAAAACCTCTCCAAAAAAAGAAGGAAAAAACAAGTTACAGAGTGCAGAGTGGAAGAAGTAATCTGCAAACCACAAATCCAACTAAATGTTAGAATCTATAATATATTAAAAACTTGGGACCAGCAGTTGGCGTAATGGCTATGTCGCTGGACTCCCATAGTTGACCACGGGTCGGGGCCTGGACCTGGTAGCTTAAACTCACACTGGGCGTGTGTGCCCAAGATCCTGAGAGGAGAATGGAGGAGAAGGAATTGCAGCATGGGCATACCCCTAGGGGGTGATTTCTCACTTTCTGTCTCTCTCTGTTTTCCTGGTGAGTGCATGTGCATTATAGCAAAAAAAGAAAGGAAAAAAAAATATATAGCATTAGCAGATGGCATAATGGTTACATTGCTGGACTCCAACATGGCTCACCACAGTTCAGGTCCTGGATCTGGTAGTTTGAAACTCATGCTGGATGCATATGTGCATGCATGCCCAGGATCCTGAGAAGAAAATGGAAGAGAAGGGGTTGCAAATGGCCAGTTCCCCGAGGTGTGTTGGGGGGTGATTTCTCACTTTCTGTCTCTCTAGCGAGTGCGCATGCCCTAGAGCAAAAATCTCTCTTCAAAATATAAAAATGAAACTACCATAAAACCCAGCAACCACACTTCTGGTTATTTATCCCAGAGAAATGAAAACTTGTATTTACACAAAAAAACTGTGTAACAATGTTTTCAGCAGCTTCATTTATAAACATCAAAAATTGGAAATGATACAGATATCCTTCAGTGGGTTACTAGTTAAACAAATAGTGGTACAACCATACCACAGAACATTACTCAGCAAGAAAAATGCTCTATGAACTGCTGATAAAGCAACAGCCTGCATGGATCTCAAGGGATTATGCTTAGTAAAAAAGCCAACCCTAAGAGGTTACATACCATACGGTTCCATTATGTAACATCCCTGAAATGATAAAATCAGAGAGATAAAGACCATATAGTGGTTGCTAGGTTGTATTATTTATTAAAATTGTATGTGCTCTACTGATAATTCAGCCTCCAGCAAACGAGCTAGCGGCAGAAGAGGCTGGGCCTTCAGAAGAAGGTTCCACATGGCTCCAGAGAAGTAGATATTTCAGGGAATGAAGATTTTCTACTGATAATTCAGCCTTCAGCAAACAAGCTAGCGGTAGGGAGCCCCCCTCCCCACACCCCCAGCCTTCTATCACTGTTTCTGTGTCTCGGTTCCTGTCTCTCCCTGCTTCTATCTTCCCTCTGTTTTTGTAATTTTTCCTTTTTACACTTTTTTTAAAAGGCACAGTTTTTCTCTGGCTCTCAGCTCCACCTTTTATCTTGTTAATTATCCCTCTGGTCCTCCCACCCAGGCAGAAGAGGCCGGGCCTTCAGAAGAAGGTTCCACATGGCTCCAGCGAAGTAG